TTAGAAATACAATGCTGATGGTGCTGTGAATCGGTACAAATATTTTGGAAAGCAATTTGGAATTAAGCTAAGAAAGTGACTCAAATTTCCACATCTTCTGACCCAGAGATTCTAGAGATACAAGGCATCCCCTTAAGGAGTTCAATGGTAAAAACAGTCACCATCTACTAAAATACTTATAGCAGCACAGTACTGTAAATAAAACAGATGCCATTGAGGAATGGGAAAAAACACATAAGGGTATATGGAATGTTACTGTGCTATAAGAAATGATGAATATGAACACACAGGAACATGATTAGGGTTATATGAACTGATGCAAAGTGAAATAAACAGAAGCAGGAAAGCATCATACACAATGAATACAATGATATTAACAGAGAGAACAAAGAATTAAAATTGAATGCTGTGAAACTAATGACTAAGCTTGATTCTGAAGAAATTGGGATATAGGAATGTGCACCCTCCTCCTTCCTTCTTTGCAGATGTGGAGATTATGGGTATAGAATACTACTCATCATGGTTTACTTGGTTGATGTGCTGATTAGTCTTGCTTAATTGTTTTTCTTCTTTCTTTTTAATTATTTGCTGTAAGGTAGAGTTTACTTGGTAGGCAATGATGGATGGATATATTGGGAAATGAAAATGATACAAAAACAAAAGATATCAATAAAATTTTCTAAAAATGTAAAAGCACATAATGGTCATAAAAATGTGTGCTGATTCACTAGTCTGTATTTAGTAAATCAGTCTATAAGCATTTAATTGCTTATTATATATCTGGCATTGTGCAAAGATCTAGGAACACAAAGAAAGACAAAAACATAGAGGTCTTAGAGATTCAAAGAGCTCAACATTCTAATAAGAAAGATGACAAGCAAATAATTATCATACAAGATACATACATGGTAAATGTAGGGTAAATGGAGGGCAATCTTGGAGAGAAGGCAGGATAAGATGATAACAAATGACAATGCAGGAAGGGACTTGTGTAGAAGGTGGGATTTGAATTGAGTCTTGAAGAAAATCAGGAAGAAGAGTAGAGTAGGGAGAACATCCAAGGTATGGGAGACATACTTGTCAAAGTTTCACAACTTGTGAAAAGGTATGAAGTTGGGAGATTGAACTGGTTGTTGTCCTTTTTACTCGAAGAGGACCAAAATGATATCACTATGTTGGAGTCAAGGAATAGTGTCTGACTGTAGCTGATCAGATCAATATGAGCTCAAAAGGCTTTCCTACAGGTTGGGCGCAAATAGTGCATATAAACATTTTGAGCAGAGATGTCTCCAAATTTGTGCATCTCATGTTTCTTTTGAGTTACTCCAATTCTGCTTTGCTCATAGAGCACAGAATCTTCTTTGACGTGGGCACACCATACTGGGTGGTCTTCTGTCAATATCTGCCATGTTTCACAATCGATCCCAAAGTTCTTCAGAGAGACCTGAGATTGTCCTTGTATTGCTTCTTCTTACCTCCATGTGAACACCTGCGTTGTGTGAGCTCTTGGTCAAAGTCTTTTAGGCAAATGTATGTTTGCCCTTCAAACAATGTGGCCAGCCCACTGCAGCTGTACTCTCTACAGTAGAGTTTGAATGCCTGGCAGTTCAGCTTGAGAGAGAACCTCAGTGTCTAGTACTGTATTTTGTCACATGATCTTCAGAATCACCCTAAGACAAGCAAATGGAAATGATTCAGTTTCCTGGCATGGTGCTAGTATACTGACCAGGTTCCACAGGTGTACAATGAGGTCACCACAATGGCTCTGTAGACCTTCGGTTTGGTAGGCAGTCTAATACCTCTTCTTTTCCACACCTTCCTTCAGAGTCTCCCAAACACTGAGCTAGTTATGATAATACATGTGTCTACCTCATCCTCTACGTGTACATCCCTGGAAGGTATACTGCCAAGGTAAATGAATTTATCCACAGCATTCAAAATTTCTACATTTGCTATAACCGATGGCTCCATGTATGGATAGTGTGGTGCTGGCTGGCAGGGAACTTCTGTTCTTTTGGTGTTAATTGTCAGGTCAAAATTAGCACAAGCAGCAGAAAACTGAACCAAACTTTGTTGCATCTCAGCTTCAGAAGATGCACGGAATGCATAATCATTTGTGAACAAAAAGTCACGTACCAACTCTCCCTCGACTTTAGCTTTGACTCATAGCCTTTTCAAGTTAAATAATTTACTGCCACTATTGCAGCTCATCTTGATTCCATTTTTGGTCTCATTGAAAGTGTCGGAAACATCCTGGGGAACAAGCACACAGCCCTGTTTCACTCCACTGGTGACTGGGAAAGCCTGAGAGCATTTTTCATTATCTAGAACCTGGGCCAGAATGCTGTCATGAAACTGGTGTACAATGCTGATGAACTACTTTTTTACCATGATCTTCCACAAGTCTTCAAGACTGACAGTATCAAAGGCCTTGGTCAGGTTGATGAACACTGTGTACAAACCTCTGTTCTGCTCCTGGCATTTTTCCTGGAGTTTTCTGTTGGACAGCAAACACCATATTGCTTGTTCCTTGACCCTTTCTGAAACCACACTAGCTCTTGGTAGATAACCATCTTCCAGGTGAAAGATAAGCCTAATAAGGAGCACTCTGGCAAGAATCTTGCTGACAATGACTAAGAGAGACACCCCCCTCTTCCTGGTGATTGTCATAGGATAACCTGCATCCTTTTCCTCTACAGAGATGGAAAACAGAAACATACTTGAACTCTTAAAGGATAACCTTCTCTTGCCATAGAACCCAGAAAATTTCAGTCAGCTTTTGTATGAGCAGTGGACCCCCTGCCTTGTAAATCTCAGCTGGAATAGAATCAGCACCAGGTGCTTTGCCACAGGACAGGAGCCTAATGGCATTCAAAAACTCTTCAGCTGGAAGTTTAGCTAGAGAGAGATTGACTTCAACCTGAAGTATATAGTCAATGGCTTCAGCACTGATCGATGATGGTCTGTTGAGATGACTATGGAAGTGTTCTCTCCAGGATCATGTCCTTATCACTAATCAATGTGGCTCCATCAGCACTGACTTGAAATGGATCACAGGTCTTTGGCCCATAAATAGCCTTTAGAGCATCATAAAAGCACTCTGGATTGTTACTATTAGTGTAAAACTAATCTCATCTGTCTTCTTACTGAGCCAGGAATCCTGCATCTCTCTAAGTTTTGCTTGCATTTTACTTTTTTTTTTTGGTTTGTTTTGTAGGCAATTGAGGTTAAGTGACTTGCACAGGGTCACACAGCTAGTAAGTGTCAAGGGTTTGGTCGGAGGCTGGATTTGAACTCAGGTTCTCCTGACTTCAGGGCTGGTGCTCTATCCACTGTGCCACCTAGCTGCCCCTGCACTCTACTTTTGATAGAGGTAAACGCTGCCTTCTTAGAGAGGGACAAACTACCCTGCTGGTAAACCCTGTGGAGTTCTCGTTTTTCATTCAGTAGCTTCTTAATTTTCCCATCATTTTCATCAAACCTATCCTGATGTCTGTGAGTGTTCTGGCCCAGATGAGTAAATGCATTGCTGTACACCAAATCTCTGAAAGCTGCCTACTCCTTTTCTGCTCCACTGTTGCCAACCTTTGCTGGCTCAGCTTTCCCTCCATGTCAGCAACAAACTGTTTCCATGCAGAGAAGTGCTCTATTCTGTTGACATTAAGTCTTCTGGTAGTCATCTTGCCTTAGGGATACTTCTGTTGAATGCAAATATTTAGCTAGGCGAGGATAAGGCTTATGATTAGTCTAGCATTCCGCACCACACATTGCCTTTGTCATTCTCACAACCTGTCTCTTCTTACAATGGCATAGTCTATTAAATGACAATGTTTGCTGTGAGGGTGAATCCATGAAGTTTTATTGTGTTTAGGTAAATGGAAGACAGTGTTGATGATGAGGTCATGAGATGCACAAGTCTTAAGCAGTAAGTGACCACTGCTGGTGCTATTTCCAACTCCCTTACTCCCAAGGAGTCTCTGCCATGTCTGATAATCTGAGCCTATTCTGGCATTAAAGTCACTCAGAATTACAAGCTTGTCCTCTTTTGGCATATTGATGAAGGGGGCCTCCAGGTCTTCAATAAATTTCTCTTTGATCTGATGAGGGTTCGTCATGGTAGAAGCATAGGCACTGATGATGGTGGTATGGTGCTTTCCTGCAGTGGCAGTCACATTATCATAAGCCTGTCATTCACTCCTTTTGGGAGGCATACAAACTTGACTAGATGAGTTTTGATGGCAAAACTTAGGCCAGCTTCACAGTGCTCCTCATAACTGTAGCCACTCCAGAAAAAAGTGTATACAGCTCCAACTTTGGTAAGCTGGTCTTCATCTGCCAGTTTTATTTCCACTCAGTGGTGCTATCTGAAGGTGACATCTGCTGAGTTCTTTTGAACCAGGAGCTGTTCATCTTTCAGGTCTGCTGGATTTTGTGTTGTCCATAAGCACATGCTCATTCCATGTACCAAGGGTGAGTGGAATCATCTTTGCAAAAGTTTCTGTACTTTTTTTGTGTTTTGACTATAGAGTGGGATCCCCATCTGCCACAGTAAGCAGGCCAGGGTTGAGAGCAGACAATTTTTAGGGCATCTTTTCTAGTCCCTTCCTCATGCCAGGAGACAAGCAATGCGGTCCTTAAAAAGGCTGCTCAGACACCCAGGGGACTGCCAAATCCCACTGCTGCTTCAGTCCAGTGAAAAGACGACACTATGGCCTGGGCCACCTGCGTGCAGGGTTGTGACTACAGCATCTGGTATATCTGTACCTGCTGTTTCATCACTTGCCTATCACCACAGGACTTTAAGGTAGGTAAAAATGGTAAAATGGTATGGGTAATGTCTTTTGACTTGCACATAAATTGGATTTAAGTAAGGAAGAGCTGTGTGAAGGTGTCAGCCTCACATCAGAGTCCAGTGGCAAGACAAAAATCAAGATGACTGATATTGGCTCAGGATGCACTGGATGACCTTGGAGTCTTCAATATCTAATCAAGCTCTAGGTGCTCCATAGCTCCTCCTTCAGCTGCCCTAATGGCCACTGGAACAAACTATTCTTATCTGACCATTAGGCTGGGGGGAAGTCTTCACATGCTTGAGGTAAACACTCCCTTAACTCACAAACAGGTTTGAGGGCCCCTTGGTTGGAGCCACAGTTGAGAACAAGATGGCAGGTGGACACCAAAGGTTGAAAGCAGCCCTGAAAAAAGGCTTGGCAACTTTCACACCAGAGATACTAGTCTTCCCATAACACCCTAGGAAATTGAGTTGTTTGTACAAGAAACAGCAAGATGGCCAGTAACCTATGAAAATATCCAATAATTTCAAAATGGATAAGGATATACTGTTACATATGAATAATAATCAAATCTCCCATTTTACATAAGAGATAAAGCTAAATATATACTTGCTAACATTTATATTCAGATACACTGCTGAGATTATGCACACACAGTAAATATTTTGCTGAAATGTGCTGACTGCCCATTGGGTGTGATATCTCCAAATTCTTACATTTTGTCTTTCAACCTCAGCTTCTTCTTCTGGAGATTTTTCATCCTTAGAGATTTTTTTGGATTTTTTCTTTGTACCTGAAACAATAATCAGACATTTGTGAATTTTAAAGAATTTAAGGTTAAGAATACCAAAGCTTTGCTGCCAGGAAAATAGAAGTGAATTTCAATGGCATTTTACCACATTTCCCCCAAATTTTCCCTTTCTAAACTTCTTGCCCCAAAGTCTTTTGAAGTCACTTAAGCATTGACTTTAAACCAAATTACTGGAAAAGAACTACATTTTGTTTAAATAAGACAGTGATGATTTTCAGTAAATAAATGTTTTCACAATTATAACCACTATTAGTTGTATTTGACTCCAAAAAATTGTTCCTGGGACTTTTCCAGATCAACTACATGAGATGAAATGCTTAACTCTATGACATAATGCATTTGTTAGTCCCCCACCATTTGGAATCACTGTGCTAGGGGTACAAAGATAATGAAAACAGTTCCTGCTTTCAAAAGAGCTTACATTCTGCTGGGGGTTATAAGATATGCTCGAGCGAATAAATACAAAATATTAAAAAAAAATGGGAGGCATTGTAGTGTAGTAAACACAGAGTTGGCCTCCAAGTCCGGAAGACCAAATGTTAAATCTTAACTTGACTCTGTGTGACAGTGGTTAAGTCCTTAAACCTCTCAGTGAAGGCCTGAGAAAGTGTAGAAGTTGTGTGGAGAGAAAGGGGCTGATCTAAAAGATGTCAAGAAGGTAGGTTTCACAAATGATTGGACATGTGAATTGAGGTAGATGGAAGAGAGCCAAGAATAGCTCCAAGGTTTCAAAGCCAGGTGAGTGGCAAGAAGGTAGTTTTATCAATAGGAATGATGAAGTCTGAAGGAGTTTTGGGGAGAAATAAGAATTCCATTTTGGATTCAGATTAGGGAGTCATCTACACAGGGATGATAATTAAATCTACGGGAGCTAATAACATCACTAAGAAAGAGGGTATAGAGGAAAGGGCTCAGGGCTGAGCTTTTCAGGATACCCATACTTGGTAGGTGGGAATAAGAAGACTCAGCAAAGGAGGCTGAGAAGAAGCAGTCAGACAGGTAGGATGAAAACCCCATTGCCAATGTCCTCCTCCTGAGCACTCTCTCCTACCCTGGCTTCTGGGACACTGCTCAACTCTCCTGCTACCCAGACCTTTACAGAGCTGCCTGGAGTTTTGAGAGATTAAATGACTGATCCATGATCAGACATACAGTATCCTCAAAGGCAGCAGCTCTATTCACTGTGGCATGTGCTACACTGAATTAGGAGCTAGGGATACAAAGAAAAGCAAAAATAGTCCCTGCCCTCAATGAGCTTACACTCTAATTTGGGAGACAACATGCAAACAACTGTGTACTAATAATACATAAACAAGATAAATTGAAGGTAATTTCAGAGAGATGGCAGTACCATTAATGGGGATGCAGAAAGGCTTACCAGCAGAAGTTAGGATTTTGACTGTGTGTGTACATGTAGGAAGTTCATATGTATTTCTGTAGCACTTATCATCAGGAGAAATGTAAACCTATAGCCTAATAATAACTAATAATGAAATCTCTACCACATATTTCTCAAGTTCAATACACAAAATGATAAATCTACATTAAAATACCCTCTTCTTCTATCTATCTTACTTTTGCTTTTATATCTCTATTATCTAGTACAAATAGTACTGGACACTGGCAAATGGTAGGAACTTAATAAATGCTTGTTGATTGACTACCCTTCCTACAAGTGTCTATATTCAACTTCATTTTACCAAGGTCTGATTTTCAACCTCCTAACACAGCTGCTTATTTTTTTTTTTAAGGCAACAGTTTCTTTGAAGTCAGTGAGAGTGCTACATGTGCAGAGATAGTTCTGTGGCAGGGATAAAAATCAGGCTGTATGTGATTAATACAAAAAAAGAGATAAAGATCTTCATATACAGCTGTGGGAAATAATTTCAAAGGGCCCATAATGAGCTGTTCCAGGTTTTATAACAACCTGGTGAAAAGTCATAAAAATAAACTTGAAAGACTACAGAATGGGTAAGGGGAAAAGGGATCTCAAAGACTGCCAGGGCTAAAGATTACATTCAATTTTACTACAATCAATTTTGGGGGGTGAGAGAGAGGGACTAAAAAAAGAATTTACTATATGCTATGACAGGTGGTTTCGTTAGACAACAATACGTAAATTCCTGTTCTAGATTTTTAACAAGATCTTTTTAACAGATTTCAATTTATAAAAACCAAACAGCTTTTTCTCTCTTTTGGAAAGCACTCAAACTTATGTTGGACATAGGAGTATAAGGGAAATTAAAACTGCCTGCTCTGAAACTCTATCTCTATTCTTTAATGATTCCATTGGCATGTAATGAACTACGTCTACTAGGACCACTGAAAAGAAGTACATCTGGATTGATTACACTAAGTCAAAAATTGTGTAGATTTGAAAGTATGAAACTCAATTAAGTACAGCAAATATTGGAAAAAATTACAAACAATAAAAGTGGTACAGATTTATTATTTATTATTACATTTACATTTATTATTACATTATTATTATTTATTAAGTATCTCCTCCTCACTGAGTAAATTTCCTTCCGGAATCTCATATGCAAATAGGATTTTTGTAAATGAAATACCTGTAGCCCTGCCTTTGACTTTCATGATAAAAACCACAGAATTTTTCTCATAGGAAAAAAAATTAGCTAAATTGGAAACTTCTAAATGTTAAAAAACTGAAAAAAAAAATTAGAAACTTCTTTTGAAAAAGGGCAACTAATAATCATAAGTAGTGACTTTTATATAGGTTTTAAAGTTTGCAAACCACTTTACATACGTATGGGTAGGAGTTCTTGTCCAGCTGGCAGCTCTAGCTCCTATCTAGCAATTCATTGTTTCTACTCCAATATTCTTCTTGTCTTATGACCTTCTCTGAAATATTTCAAAAAGGAAAAACTCCCTAACTGAATACTCCATTATCTCATACTTTCACCTCCTAGAATTTCCTTTCCTTATCTTTTATTCTGAATATTTAAAGTGCATGACTACAAATACATGACCAATGAAAGTCATTAACATTACCATGGCTATTGTAAAGGGTGTGACAATCTACTGCCCTTACAGACCCACCTGGAATCCTAGCAATTTAATTTTTAGGAAACAAAGCCTAACTGCCAGTCCCTACTAACAGGTACCCATCTATGTCAGTCTCCATCCCTTTCAACATCCGATGCTACCCTTTTCTACCCCTTCCACTGCACACACTAGTATCCATGTTTTATTGTTAAACCGCTTTTCATATTGGACCTGTGCCCTCTCCCACTGGAAATTACTTTGTCTTTATTTATATTTGTACATGCTGTCTTCCCCATCAGGGCAGAAATTCCTTAAGCTCTTTGTTTTGTTTTACCTTGCTTTGTCTCCCTAGTGCTTAGCATACAGCAACTGCCTCACAAATTCTTGTTGAATTACAGCTAATGCATGATGCAGTTTATTCTGGGCTACTTAAGATGGAAAACCCATTTGTTCCTACCAAATAATGGTTTATTAAATGTATAAAATGTTTAGGACAAAACAAAGCACATTAAAATAAAGTTAGATACTTAGTTCTACTTTGTTTAAAAATAACAATTAAATTAATAAACCAAAACAGACTTTTATGATCTTTATGTGCCAATAAGAAAAATTCTTGAGTAATTGTGAAAAAATATAACAAATACCAAAGCCATTAGAGTTTCTGAAACCATAGTAAGTCTATTTTAAAAAATTCTATTTGGTATGCATTTTATAGGAAATTTAGAAAAAAAATCACAAAGTTCATTACTGAAGAAAAAAAAGTTAAACAAATCTAAAGTGTTAACATTAAATTATAACCTAAGGAGGATCAAACATCAAGTCTAGTATCAATGAGTTTAATTTTCCTGTCTTTTGGAGATTATTTTTAACTATTTGGCTTTATAAAGTAGTTTTGGGCAAAGGTACAGTAAATCCAAATGGTTTATAATGCCTTTGTTTTACATTATGAAAAGACTTAAAATAGATATCCATTTAAACACTGAGGAATTAAGTTCATCACGTTGAAAGTATTTTTGAAAATAAAATGTTTAGTTTCATCTCAAGCACACTCAATTTTCTAATTGTACTTCTAGACATATGGCTTGTAATTAGTTATGATAATTAAGGGAGTATACAAATATGTAACTCCCAAAACTTGCTATAGTGATTTATTTCATGTAATGTCCCAACATTTTAAAGAGAACTGTTATCAAGTAACTGTCCTACCTGAGTATGACTTTCTTTATCTTCTGACCAGTGGAAAGTTTTAAGCAATGAAGTGGTCCAAAGAGAAAACAGCAAAAGGCAAAAAGAGTAAAAGAAAAAAGGCCAATATAATCCATAAATTGTACTACTGGTTTTAGCAAATGAGAACTGACTCAATATCCTTTATTTTTTCAGTACTAAAAACTAAATATGTCTTTGCAATAAATAACTTACAATGAGCACTAAAAACTAATGTACCTGTGTAACCCACTTTGGTAATTTTATTTCAACATAATAAAAATAAATGTACAAAAAGGTGAAATCCAAATTCCAACTCTTCATAGTACTGCCTACTACGGTGTCCTAAACCCAGTGGGTCTACAACAAGTTTTGTTAACTGATTAAGTTCCTCTCTAAACATCACTATTGTGGTTCAAGAATTCACAACACTGCTCCCATTATTCTCTACTTATTCTTCCTTATAGCTTACAGATATTGGTAAGTATAAATTTGAATCTTTCTGGGGATTCCTCAGAATTACAAAGTTACTGAAGGCTGTCCCCAACTAAATCCATTTGACTACCAGGAAATCTTTATTATGCTCCATGTTGCATATTTCTCAGGTAATCATTACAAAACACAGTATGAAGGGAGACACACATTTATCTGCTCTCTCTTTGATTTGAATCATGAGAGGAAAAATTGGGGGATATGGAAAAAATGGTAAAGGGGATTTTAGGATTCTGGGACTCCAGAGTTTTGAGATTAATGTTTGAGAGAAAAGGCTTTAA